CTGTAAGGGCTTTCTGAAGGTTCAGGGGGTAGCTGCAGTACGGTTTTTATCAAGAAAGGTATGCTTGTTCGTTTGATGCCGTGCGCAATGCCCCCCCTGCCCCCAGTACTTGAGAATGTTGATGCCATTTTTGCGACCGTATGTTCTTCAAAGTTTAGCAGGCTGACTCTCTGCTTATGCGTCGAAAAGGTCTGCACAACTTCCTGTTCATGCCATCAACCGGGGACACCGAAAACCGAAACACAACCCTGATATGCTTCAACATCGCTTTTTTCAGCCGGGCGAAGCGCGAACATCTTGACATGAAGCACTTCTTTCCTTGGTTGCTGGTGGCTTCGGACTCAACAACAAGTGATGAGCTCTCCCTGGTATCATCATGTTCTTCATAGTTGTTTTTTGTTGCTACCTCGCTGCTAAGTATAGGATCCGAAACACAAAGCAGTTACCCGACACAGGAGCTGCAATGGAGGCTGTTTACCTAAGTGTTTAAATCTGGCAGTAGTGCGCGGGTCTGCTGTGTTCAAAACTTGCCAGACCCGGTACTTGCTTCAAAACTATACACCCTGAAAGTTCCAGATCTTTCAGACAGCCTCTAAATGTCATTCCGGAGAGTAGCACACACACAGAGATATATCTATATGTATATATGTATATATAGTTATATAAGTAAATTTACCATTACAAATAAAATAAATAAACTGAAAATACAGTATAATATATATATATGTATATATACACACGCACACATATTTATTTATTTAAATATATTCAGAGGTTACACATGCACGCGTGTATATGCATATGACCTATATATGTATACTTGTAAATAGCGCTAGACCTCCCCCGCAAATAGCGCTAGACCCTCCCGGCCCGAAGCGCAGACGCCTAAACCCCGAAACCTCCAAACCCGCCGAAAGCCGCCGTGAACACATAAGACACCCTAAACCCTAAACCCCAAACCCTAAATCCTAAACCCTAAACCCTACTAAATCCTAAACCCTAAACCCTACTAAATCCTAAACCCTTAAACCCTATAACCCTGAACCCGAAACCCCTAAACCCTAAATGATTTAACCCCTAAACCCTAAGCCCTAAACCCTAAAACCCTTTTGCCCTGAACCCGAAACCCCTAAACCCTAAAAGCTTTAACCCCTAAACCCTAAGCCCTAAACCCTAAAACCCTATAGCCCCGAACCCTAAACCCCTAAACCCTAAACGCTTTAACCCCTAAACCCTAAACCCTAAAGCTCAAGAATAGGCCACCAAGCTGCGGCCAGTCCGTCTGCCTCATCTCCAGCTCAATGCGCAAACCTCCAGCGATTTGGGCTTTCAGAGTTTAAGGGTTTAGGGGTTTTGGGTTTTGGGTTTTAGGGGTTTCGGGTTTTAGGGTATAGGGGTTAAGGCTTTAGGGGTTTAGGGGTTTAGGGTTCAGGGCTATAGGGGTTTAGGGTTCAGGGTTATAGGGGTTTTAGGGTTTTAGGGTTTAGGGTTTACGGGTTGAGGGTGAAGGGCTTAAGGGTTAAAGCGTTTAGGGTTCAAGGGTTTAGGGGTTTAGGGTTTAGGGTTTAAGGGTTTAGGGTTTACCTGGGTCCCAAAGGTATGTGGAATAATAGCCTTAGCCTTTTATGGGTCTTGGGCCATTATTTTACCTACTTTTGGGGGTTTATGTAAACCCTAAACTTTTAAGCCGTTCTGGGTACCCCGACCGAGACTGTAAACTACCCCTACACCCTGGAACTTGGGCAGGATCGATCATTTCAAGAAGCTCTACAGACTTCCAGAGCGATATGGGGGTTTCCGAAAAGAGGGGACCCTAACCTAGTACCCTAAATAGTAGGATCCTTACTATAAGGACTCCCAAAAAGAAGGTACCCCTTCTTGTCGGAAAGTCCCATATGCATCCGACTTAGGGCTTAGAGGGTTTAGGATTCAGAACTCTGGGGCTAGCTTGGCAGGATTTTGATTTGTGGTTCATCATTTAGGCTTTAAGCGCTGTGCATAAACAGAGAGTTACCATGCCCTTTTCGACACGGTATAACGGTACACTCCTCTGTTAGGATCCTCACCGGCATTGAGACAAGGTGCTACGTTTGATCTCGGGAAAAGCAGGGGCCCTGCTGAGAATCAGAATAGACATTTGGGAATATACGTGTAATAAAGAACATCGAAGAACTCAAGTACGAATTTTCTTGAAACCCTATCCCTAAACCCTATAAACCCTAAGTTAGAATTCTGTTGGAAGGTCTAGTCTAGAGTCTCGAGCTTCGGGGTTGAAGGGCGCATGGGCAAGAGCTCCATGCGGCAAGACCCCCAGGGCTTAGGGTTGAGGGTGCGGGAGCACCTGCTTCTGCAAAGAGGCGCTTATACATGCGCTCGGTGCGCGCAATGCTGTGATCCTGAGCTGCGCGGGGAAATCTGGGGTAAGGAATCTCGAAGTAAGCCCTACAAGTCAATAGCACATGAAAAGGTAGGATGGCAACACAAGCGCACAACAGTGACGGGCCTGCTACTATTTAGCTGTCAGAGTGCTCTGGGGGATTCCAGCATCCTCCAACCGGGTGGCTCTCCAAACCCGTGTCCCGCCCTACTTTGAAGAACTCTGCACACGTGCACAAGCTCCTCGGAGTGTCTTTCTAGAAGACAAGCGCGGGCTGCTGCTATTGCTCATCCCTGAGCCCAGTAATCTAGCTCAAGCAAACTACCTATTCCAAGTTCCGGGTCGTCCTGGTGTCCTGCAGAATCCGAAATTTAGAAAAAAGTGATACGCAAAAAAGAGCCCTGCAGCCTAAACTAAAGGAGCATTCTGCAACCTAGAACGACCTCCCCCAAGAGCAAATCCAAAGCCCGAAGAGGTAACAAGCGGCATCTCCGGGTTAGGGTTGTATAGGCTGTACCAGGACCCTCCAAGTACCCTCAAATAGGGGTATATGGTCCCAAATTAAGGGTATTTAGGGTCTTTAGAGGGTGGATGGAGGGTCTAGGTAAAGACAGAAAGTGTATGCATGTACGTGCCTATTTCGTTCTATGCTTATTAATTATACTTTGTGCATAAATTTGTGTGCGTGTATGTGCAGAGGTGATTTACGTAGGGTAGGGAAAGTCGTATAGTTCAGTGCAGCGTTTTAGGGCTTCGGGTCAAAATAGACTCACTCAATCTGCTGCCGAAGCTGCCTGCAGATCTGCTAACTGAGCTCAGGGTCTAGGGTTCAAGCTCAGAGTTTAGGGTAATAGGTTTAGGGTTCGTAGGAATTTAGGGTTCAGAGTTCAGGGTTATAGGTTTAGGTTTTGTAGG